ATTTGGTCTCGCGTGCTGGTACGGGTATGAGGGCGGTAGTCACTTCCCGGCTGCCCACACCGTGGAAGGTTGTTTCTTGAGGGACCTGAAAAGGAAGATGGATTAGTGTTGGTGCGTGACTGCAGAGTCCAAGGGACAACTACTTGAGGCCGGTCACGCACGGCCTTTTGATGAAACGTTTTTTGAGGATTAGCTCCGTTCTTAAAGGCCCTTAGTGGGCACCCTTACCCAAGGAGACGGAAATCCGTGAGTTAGGGGGAGTGTGACATTTTTAGGGCCGACCTTTTCTAACCCTTCCTTCCTTGTGAGAAGGCAGCATCGCTGCAGATGCTGGTTGTCCGAGGGAAACACCTTACTGCTGTCACACCCCCTCTGCAGTCAGCAGTACGACTTCGCCCTCAGACCTTGGGTAGCTGCTTTTAGTCTCATCGTTCTCCAATCGACCAGCCTGGCATGGTAGGACCTGCAGGAACATATGTTCCAGCCAGTATAGCTCGGTTGGGTCATCACGATAGGCAAGCCCGACCACCACGTCAAGGTAGCAGCTTCGGTCGGGCGAAACACGTGACTGACCATTGTTGTACCTTACTCAACTTCCAATTTCCTACTTAAATTCATTGGTTTAATCCCCATTACTGTTATGATTAGGGGGTCGATTGGTTGAATATGTCGACCGCTTTAATTATCTAACGAGCCTCGTCAGCCCCGATGACCTGCAGTCTGACGAAATCACACCACTAATCCAAAAGGTTCGATAGGTTTTTGCCAACTTTTGTCAATTGTAGCGTAGGCGAGACATAATACGTCTAACGATCAAAGTATGAGTTTACTACGCAACAGTTCATTCCATTATGCTCTAGGATTATGAAACGGTCAAACCACGTTAACAGGTGCGTGTTACTTGGTTAGGCTCTGCTTGACAATTGTAACTAATGGTTAGAAATTTTGAATTACATGGCTCAAAATCGTTTGCAATGGCGCAGGTACATCCATTCTTTGCCTTCATCTAAATCCTGAGCTTTTCAATTCTTCACAATGTTTTCTGGAAATTCCACTGATATTTTTGAAGACTATAGGTACCAAGTTCTGTTGTGCAGCTGACCAACTGACTATTATGATAACATTATCCCCTTTAATCGAACATGATTGTCGTTTTTAATAACTCAAGAGTATCATGAATCACACAAGTATCACTTTTTTATGTCTTCAACTCGAATAATTACGTACAAGCTTATTAATGCATAAAACCTATTTTATTAAATGAAATTATTTCACATGAATAGATATAGAAATTATTTCTAATTTCCTTAAATGAATTTAAATAAAACTATCCATAAATAATAATTTATGAAAATGTGTATTTAAGAGTTACACGATTATTTATTTCCTTCATGATCATCAATCACTGTTGATAAGATATTACCAATAAGCAAGTGGATTACCCCAACCAACTTCTAGTTGAAGTGTATGTATTTCATTCAACAATTCAGTATTATTCAATTTCATCTAAAAATGAAGATTTAATATGATTCGTAAATTTGAGATCAGTGAAAATATTTTCACAAGTGATTTATTGAAAATCTGTTATTCTTTTTGCTGGTGTTCCATTTGTCAACACTACAAATAGAATATGAACATATTCGCACCATCTAAATCGAAAAGTAACATGAATGTACTTAGCAATTCTGCATTTATCTAGCAATATCTTTGACCCTTTCATTGTAAAATAAAATGATTATACAATTAGTTCCGTTCATTTTTATGTACTAGTTGAAGTAATCAACTACTGTTGTGCATATTTAAGAATAATATGTGTATGAAATCGAAATAAATGGAGATTTGTTGCCAGGGGGTTTATTTTTGCAACGTCCGGGATATTAAGAAAAGTAGTTTAAAATGATCGGCTTTGAAGGATACACATTCCATCTTATTTCGGGTGATATTGGAAAGATATTAGAAAACTTTAACACATCCACAGGGTGCAGCTGGAAAATTGCACTAGTCTGTATACCCAAGTAAATTTCTTCTGTTTATTACTATAATCAATTCTTCATCTAACACCACCAGCTTAAGTTTCTGTTTGACGAAGAAAACATTACATGAAACAGGGATATTTCTACAATATCCAGACTTAAAATGTCCACAATACGAAATTCTTGAGAATGGATAAAGTAAACATTGAAGCACCCTTATTACCGCAATCAGTTTGATTCGTGAATGCAATAAAAGTGACAAAACACTGTGATATAAATGACAGGATTTAAATAGCTTAATATGTTTGAATTGTGTATGATCTACAGTGAATGATAGTTCAAATTAATAAGAGCATAAGAACAAAAACAAATAAAATAGAATTACATACTTTTATACAATATTTAAAGGATTGTTCAGCTTCTGTACGTCGATTTGTTTTTAAGCATATCATCGATAAATAAGCCCAAACCTCAGGATTTCTGTTGTTAATATAATTGGCTTCAGTGAAAGCTTCTTCAGCATTTTCTAGTTCTCCTAACTTCATAGTATGTGAAGATGAGCAAAGGAAAAAACCAAACAATGCTAGCACAGTTTAAGTGCAGTTCAAAACGTAGAAAATAAAACGAGCTCTGATCTACTTAACATTGAAAAAAATGTGACTGAGTTTTTAATCTTGTGTGTAATTCAACTGAATTATAAACTCATCACCCCTAACGTAATCAATGATAAGGAGATTACTAATTTACGATCTACTGAACAAACAATATAGTCACTCATAAATTAAATGTAGTATATTTTTATTGGCTAGACACTTATTTCAAGCTACAACTACTGGTCAAAACTGTTCATCATTTGTCGCAATTATAGATGTGCTGCCTGCCTACAAATTTGTATTGGATCATTTTAGGTATTATACCGTTCATTTTGAATAAGGTACATTTATAACTTAGCATGTGAAGGATTGACTTTTAACAGGTAGTTTCATAAGTATTCCAGTTGTTAGTAATATTCAAGTAAATTTGTTTTAGGTTATATAAGATGCAATATAGTTTAAAGAGGCTTTATTGCTTGGTTCAAACGAATTTAGTTTCGTATGTCGAGAATTCTTAATATGATTATCTTTTTGTTCATTACTAAATTCAAATCTGAATCAGTTTTGCTGTTCATGCTCATAAGCATCTAACTGTCAGTCACTAAAATACGAATGAAAAATTGTTGTTTACTGTCAAAAAGTTATTAATTGTTAAAAGAGAGTTGGTCATGCATCAAGTAAACCTAACTGGATGGACAATGTTGAAGTTAAAAATTAAATCAGAATTTATCAATACATGTGTGTTACATAATTAGTCATAAAATTCTAATAAAACTTACTCATGAATAAACAATAATAATCAGAAGGACGAAATATTCATTGTAGATTTTTCAATTTTTAAAAAAAATATTCAAAATATGAATTATATTGACTTACTCTATAACAAGCTTTACCAACACCTAGCCAAGTTATACAAGTTGGAGAGTTTTTACATGCACGTAAGTAAATGTCTTTAGCTTCTTTATACTGAAATTGATTTTGAAAAAAAAAATCAACACGATGAACGTAAATGAACTTCTACACTTATTTTCAAAGTAATTTTTATTACAAAGCAGTGATCCCATTGACATTCATAAAGTACGGAACTATTGTTTGGTATTCATTACAGACCACTCATGATCATATACTATCAGTCTCATAATTCATGACATTCAGGATTAAGATAACAGGAACCATCCATCAATCATTAAAAAGCACTGTTCTCTTCAAAAGATGACAATTCTCCACTCACATTTTATGGAGAAAATTACGTATACTGCATACAAATAATTCAATGAGATTGACCACCTAGTCCAGATACTTTAATATAACTAACAATTTCATATTATCAAGAAAATAACAGTCCTCTAATAAACAATTTTTTCTAATCATTAATGAAATTTGTTTGATAATTGGCAATCAGTATTTAATTGAGGACTTGCTCAGGTCAAACGGATTTCATGTTCATTATTATTACCGATTAAATACAACCTAATGTTTTCACTTAGAGTTATGGAGATTGGTGTTTTTATACATTTGAAATCATCAGTCAATCATTGTTAAACCACCATTAGAAACCTGGAAGCACTGGACGGCCGTTTCGTCCTGGTATGGGACTCATCAGCAGTGCGCATCCACGACTCCTGCACCTCGCAGGATTCGAACCCGGGACCTTCGGTATTGTGCTCGAACGCCGAACCATCGAACCACTGGACCGGCATCCAACGGTGTTAATGTCTAACTCTGATTGATCTAGGGATTTTGCGCGACCTCACCCATTTGTCTTTAGTAGTTACTGCCTACACCTGACAGGGTTGAACTCCACTGGTCACGTCTTCTCACTTAATGTTTAATAAATATCAAACAAAACTATGCAACTGTCTAATTATTTTTCACAATACTGACATAATAGTATCGATTTGTTTTGATTATAAAATCTTTATAGAGTGATCACAATTATCAAAACTACTTATAATCTCTAATCCGAATTCTGATGAATTAGCTTCCTGACTTTATTGAAAATTTAATTTTTAAAATTTACCGTAAGTAATTATGTGCACATTAATTTTTTATAAAGATAATAAACAATGAATTATCAATTCTTTTCATGAAACGAATAAGTAAAACCTTTAAAAAGATATTTACTAGTTTCTTTTTCGAATTAAGGGCATATTCAAAGTTTTCAATAAACATTGAAATGTATGAAAAAAGTTGTTTCAGAAAGAATCTCTGTGATTTCTTGATTGTCAATGCTTAGCAATTTCTAAGTTAATGGTTTTCGACCTGGACGTGGTTCTATAGACCACATCTTCACACTGCGACAGGTCCTGGAACACAGACACACATTTAGGTGTCCTATAATAGTTGTTTTCCTGGACCTAAAAGCGGTATTTGACTCAGTGGATCGTGAGGTTCTGTGGCAGTGTCTGTCATTGAAAGGTGTACCAATGAAGTACATTAACCTCATACAAGCTCTCTACTCGAACACCACTGGTCGAGTGAGAGCTTATGACGAACTGTCACCGGAATTCTTTACTTAAAGCGGTGTCCGTCACGGATGTCCAATCTCTCCATTCTTGTTTAATTTTATCATAGACATGCTGCGAGATATAACGTTATGTTCGCCTGAATTTTCAGGAGTGGACCTTCTACCAGGACACACGCTTGCTGACTTAGAATATTCCGATGACATTGTCCGACTTGGTGAAGACGCTGACTAAATGCAGAATCTTCTGACTACCCTAAGCAACAATGCAAGCATGTTCGGGATGCGGTTTTCCCCCTCGAAATGCAAAATGTTGCTTCAAGATTGGGTTTCATCGGCACCTGAACTAGCGATAGGGAGTGAAGTAGTCGAACGTGTAGACCGCTTCACTTATCTTAGGAGTCTCATCAGTGCTGATGGTGTAGTGACTGACGAAATCTGAGCACGGATACAGAAGGCTCGATTGGCTTTTGCCAACCTGCGTCACTTATGGCCTAGGCGAGATATCCGTTTGTTGACTAAAGGACGAGTGTACTGCGCAGTAGTTCGCTCCGTCTTTATGGCTATGAAACATGGTCAGTAAGAGTAGAAGATATTCGTAGGTTACTGGTTTTCGATCATCGATGTCTCCGACGCATTGGTCGTGTATCGTGGGACACCCCAGTGAGCATCGCTGTTATTAGGGGACGGATGTTAGGTAAGGATGGCAGATCAATAGATGAAATAATGAAACTTCATCAGTTGAGGTGGTTGGGACATGTGTTACGTATGCCTAACCACCGACTGCCTCGTCGAGCTTTGTTTTGTAGTGTAGGAATGGGTTGGAAGAAAGTTAGGGGCGGCCAAAACAAAACATGGCAGAAATCTATGAAGTCATTGACGAGTGGACTTAGACATGTTGGTGAATGTCGACTACCTGGTTGGGGTCCGCGAGATGATAATAATCGATGGTTAGATACCATGAATGACATGGCTCAAAACCGTTTGCAATGAAGCCGGTGCATTTATTCTCTGTGTTCTCTCAAATCCTAATCTTCTGGATTCTTCAACCCCTCTAGTTTTGACTTTCTAAACTTTTCTCACTGAATCATACTTCTTGAATAATATCTTCTAATCCTAACCTCTCCGATTACTCCTAATACCTTTTACTACCTCTTCTACTATGGGATTTGAATTGACAATTATATCTCTGTGCTGACGTGGTATGGCAACATGAACTGATGTACTTACGTACTGAAGCAAATGAACATTAAAATCACTTAACAGTTATCATACTGTAATACTTAAAAACACTAATAAAATCTATACTATGTAATAAAAAAATAGAGAAATCTTATTTCTAATCAACTATTCTATTAAATATTTAATAATTCTCAACAATGATGATTTACATACTTTCAACTCTTGTAAATAAATTGAACCTAATCGTACAAATAAAATATGTTGATCTTTAGGTGGCCATGTAATTAAAGCTAAACAACGTTCATAACAAGAACGTGCAGCATTTAAATCACCAGCTATAAAACGTAAATGACCTAAACATGCCCAAGCTTCAATAGCTTCTGGATCAGCTTCAATAATTAAACTAGCATTGAATTCAGCATCTGGTAAATCTTGTTTATATGAATTCATGGATAAACGTGCACAAAGTAAATGATATTCTGAGACACGATGAAATAAAATATTTGTTGAAGAAATTCTATTAGTTATGGTAGATAAACCAGCAGTTGAGAAATTTGTTGGATTTTGATAATCACTAGATGATTGTACTTGTATAGGTGTTTGTATACCAGTTGGTAATTGTAAATTAGGTGCTGAATTTGATGCTAGTGTTTGAGGATCACAAGTAATTGTTTGATATTCTAATTCTTTTTTCTGTGAAATTAATTCATGAGCTAAAGCTATCGACACAAACTAAGATAAACAACATATAATTAGATGAATAAAAATTATGTTCATTAAAAAAAAAAAAAATTATCAAATTGAATAAGTAAACCTTTAAGTAATTTATTTTAATAATGTTTCGATGACATTTCGTAAAATTTTCATAACATTTATTCTGGTTTATGCATATACTACAAGTAAAAAGTAATGGTCTCAAATATCTGAACCATAAAATCAGCAGAATTTAGGTTAACAGTAAACCCTTCAGTAGAGTACAATTAGACGATAATTTATATACTATACAAAGAAGAGATTTTCTTCTTTCAATAAGGTTTGTAATAAAGTTCAGAAGGGCGTTACACGTTATTTATATCAGATATGATTAGTAAGCAGAGAAACATGAATAACCTTTCACCTTAACAACCAAAGTTGACCAAGCATATGTGCTACAGTAAGAAGTGAGTATGTGACGAGAAAATAAGTTTTTCTTAAAGCTAAAAGTACTAGCACAGAAGATCGTTTAACTCATGAAACTTAGTGCAGTGTGAGATATCTTAATGATTGTCCGACAATCACTGATAACAGTAACCTTGAATGCAAAAAAATATATCAATATATCTGTAATATCAGATTAATTCTTAAATTGCTAATTATATTTCAGTACTTACCAGCCATATATCTGGCTTTAAAGCAGTCACCTATTAAACTATCTGTAAACTTACCGAATACATATTTTTATCCAAAAGAAATTCAGCTGTTCTAATAAATAAACTCATTCGTAATGGTCTCTCACAAACCGTTGATGTTACCATTGTTGATTCACATTGTATATCAGTTGGAATTTTTGTAACTGATTTTGGAGCTGTATAAAGAAAAAAGAAAATCCTAAATAGAATTTTCTGAATTTCCATACAACTTGGAATATAAATGCACTTGGTTTGAAAATAGATTGTTGATATTACTAGTGTCAGTCTGCTTTGTAATATTATTGAGTAAGATAATAAATTCTCCTCTAGAATACACTCTGTTTCAATACCTCATCAAAATGTACATTTCTTAAGTGACAAAGTAGTTTAGAGGTAAAGCGCTTTCATATGAAACTCTAAGTCTTGGGTTACCTCCCCCGTGGTGAACTCGTGGATATGCTCTAATGAAGATTACAACTCTAGGATATTTGAGGAAGATCACTGTGTGATATATTCAATGAAAGTTTCAGTGTTAAATCCTGCCCCTCAGCGAATATTTAAGAGACATTCATCGAATTACCTTTACAGAGCTAAACAAAACAAACCTTTAATTAGCTTATCACACTGTTGCAGTGGCAGCACATAAAGAGTTAGTGAGCGTTTCAAACTTTATAGGGTAACATGGATTTCTACCTTGAGTTTCACGGTAGGTTTATTGCTTGTATTTACGTTAATAAAATGATTGTCGGGCTTAGAACTTGTTAAGTTCGTCACTAGGTACGCTTGAAGCTATTAAGAGTTCACCTTAGTCGATAAACGCGAACGAGACAATTACCAGCGTCCAGGTAGGCTACCTTGAATCCCAAGCTGTAAAACAGAAGTCTTGGTAAGCGTAGAAAGTATATTCTACAACACCCAGCAATCACAATACAATCAAGCACACAACTCTCGTTTATTTATGCATCATAGAAACGTCCTTGAAATAGTCACAAAAATAGCACACTAAAATAAACAGCAGCCAATCACGGACATGGATTTTCCTGGTGGGAAATGAAATCTCAAGGTCAGCTGATCAGCCCATGCAAGATAAGGCATTCATGAAGCGGGTTCTGGGGATCTAGCATCCCCAACAGAACTTGGCTCTCACTTGTTGATCGTGTCTTTGTATCATGTGATCTAATGTCATCAGCTATTGTATCCAGTGTTATAATCCAATCTATTATTATCATTGTGACATTTATTCGCGAATATCTAAGGCAAACAAATAATGTGTATGCATAAACTTACCTCTAGAATAACGTGACTTTCGTGTTTTCATTTCATCTGTTCTATCTAAGTCACTTTTAATTCCATCAACAATCATAGATTGATTACTTTCTTTATCTGATTCATTCAAAGTTATTTTAAAATGATCTGCATTTTCTTCGAATAATTCATCATTTGTTGGTTCTTTTGTTGATTTATTAATTCGTTCTTTAAATTGAAAATAAAACATTCATAATAACTAAACTATCAACAAAAAAAGTTAATTTTGGTTCAAGAAGGTTTGTAGATGCTGTCATCTAGTCAACAATGAATTGATTATGGAAATGTAAAGACTTCCTTTTAGATGTTCTGTTTAATTATATGTATATATGCCAGTTTGTCTAACAAAAGTATGAATTTATTTAAAGCGTTGGTCATTGTTTTTTTGAAATTCTTGCACTTACTATTCAAAATCAAGTGTTCATTTCAAAAATTTAGGTTTTAATTTCTATACCAATGTCATTTATACAAGATTTCGCTGTTCATTATAAATTATCAGCCATTTTATTTATAGAACAGTATTTTTTCAAATGAACTGTATACCACTCAACACCATAAAATAATGATTTCTTGAATTGAATTTTTCTAACTTCGATGAGTAAAAAATTCAAATTCCACGAAGATAGTTCAACCAAATATGTATTGATTCTCTCTGCATTAAGAACACCCATTATTACTCACTAAGCACTTGATGTAAATGTCTCAATCTATGTGTCATTGGTGACCACGGGTTTTTTTATCAATATCATAAACTATGAAGTTAGATGATACATGATCGAGTCCCATCGAAAGCACCAGTTACCTCAAGATTGCTTCATTGATGCGTTTATAGCGATTCGTACAATATACTTCTTCGCGGGATAACAAATGTTAATCCCGAAACTCTGAGAATCAAATAAGAATGAGATTCTAGAGGATGAAGTATATTTGATACTGGACTCGTGATATCGAAATAATATCGAGGCAAGAGGGCGTACAAACGGTTAACGTCCACTCAGGAGACGTGCGAAGAGGAGAATGGGAATAACACACTTGGCGCGCGAGAGAGAGATAAACAGGGGGTATACAATTTCAGCAATTGTGTTTTCTTCGTAAAAGTTAATCACTACACGTTCTCATTGGAAGAAAATCTAAGTTCAGGAATGCCTACTTTAAACCTTATAAAGAATGAAATTGTATCATTGCTTACCATCGTTTTGTGAACCTTCTGATTGAATATTTGACGACTGACGTTTGTTTGTTAATAAATCATCATTTAATTCACTTTTTGGAGAGTTGATACTTTCTTGTTCATCACTATCTAATCGTCTAGCTTCATTCAAAGCCATATCTACACCGATATCATTGGATATTGTTTCGTAAAATAAACCTAATAAGTAAATGAAAATATCTTCTTTTATGTACTATGTTTATTATTAGTTGAAATTTATTGTGAAAGCTGGTCAACAAAAAAGCGCTTTTAGCACAAATATTAGTGTGGAAAGTGTTTTCGAAAAGTATTCCTGTAATTAACTGATGCAGGAGCAGGAAAAACCTTCAAGCAGCAGCTTTTTACTGGACTTTAATTAGTCATTATTCAATTACTAGATAATGGCTGTAAAAACTAAAAACTGTTGGCGCCTTTTATTGTTATTATTAGTCAGTTTGCTGTGGTAAGGAAACAAGTATCATGTGATGCAAATTTTATTAAAATTACCGTGAGAAGTTCTTCTAAAGTTGAATATTTTAAAAACATGTTCACATGATATGTGGTCGTGGTTAAGACTGATCACCTGCAGTCGTCAACATTAATGGAACGATTTAAACAACCAATACAACTTAATTAAGTTATACCTCATTATACAAGACAGTGTCTTTTCTGTTTGTTTGGCTTTAACGGTTCTGGGTTCGAGTCCCGTAACGAACATTAACTTTAAGATGTAGGGACTTACAGCTGATAATTCCTTAATAGTTCGAAACGCAAGTCCTGGATTCCATTGTTATCCACTATCCATCTCCGTTTATAGTGATAATTGATTAGTTGAAACATGTGAATGTGGTCACTGCAGTCTATGTTAAGTAAGCAGAAAATTTTAACTGCTTTATGATTGTGTTACCCATGACCCAATGTGCTTCCTAAGCATTAATTAACGTTCTAACACAAGCTGAAATTTCTTAAAATCATTAACATCCTAATAACTTTATGCCTCCGTTACGTTTTTATCGCAACCCAGTTATGACCAACTCATTTTCCCGGTAATTACTTTGTCCAATGAATCAACAAGTATATCTATACCAAGTTTTCGTTACAATTTGATTTACTGTGAATGAAGAGAGGTTCTATTTTCTCGGTCATTAAATGACAAATAAGGAACAATACAATAATGAAAGTATTGTTGAATAAATAAATAGCAAGTGATGTTATTCGGGATTCAATTATAGACAGACACATACAACACAGAACTTCGTACATAAGTACATCAGTTCAGGTTACCATACCACGTCAGCACAGAGACGTAACTGTCAGTTCAAATCCAAGAGTGATAGCGATATTAGAATTATTAGCAGCAATGGAGAAGATTAGGGAGCGAAGATATGATTCAAAAAGTATAATTCAGTGAGATAAATTTAGAAGGAGAAAGATTTAATTATGCATATAAATGACATGCATGGAACAGGAAAAAGTGGATTTCACTTACAAACATTTGCCTAATGAACATTATTAACCAGAATGTAAAGAAAGTATTCCAACAACTATGTATCACATGCTACAAATTTCCCCTCATTTTGAAAATTTATCAAGCCTCGACTAATTCATGCATCAGTTTTATCTGAAAAACTAAAAGACAGTATTTTAAGTAACAGAATCCGAATCTTTTTGTAAGGAAACCGTTCAAGATTGTATTCGCGAAATAGATCACAATCATTAGGACTAATTTTTGAACTTGATTCGCGATAGACAGATTAAAACTAAATTAAGAGTCTAACCATAGTTGACTAAGATCTATAAGCCAATTTCATTATCAAAAGTATACATGTACTAACTAACTATTGACTAAATAGATATAAAATCGCCATCCAAGTTTATAGGCTTACCAAGTATGGCCCATACGATGGGATTTTTAGGATCATGAGACACTGCGGCTTCTAAGAAGTCAGTAGCTTCTTCGTTACAATTTTGCATGGCGGATACAAGACCGAAAAGAATTAATCTGTGAGGTTAAAGTAAAGACATTAAATGACGACAATTTTAGTTTAATGTTGTTATTTTACAATGAGTAATTGTGTTTAATGCAAAACTCACTACATCATGCTTCATTTAAGAGTATGTTTTAATGAAAATAATAGCTATATGTGAAAATTTATACATAGTGAATACCTGAATGTTATCAAACGTTTAGAAAAGAAACTATGACAAAATATCTAAGTGTGGTTAGATATACTGAAATAGGAATTGCAACAAAGCATGTATTATAATTGATTTCCAGAACTATATACTATTGTGTAATCATCTCAACTTCTAACTAAACTTTCATGTAAGTAACTCGAACTCGTTTTGCAGTTATATTTTATCAGTATTACAGATTAAAAACAGCTGACAAGAATCAACCGAACTAATATGAATTTATTTAATTCTTACCCATTATTAGTGTTAATTAATTTCGTGAACACTTGCTCCCAACATTTTGAATAAGATTTAACTTGATCACAACAACACTTGTAACACAACGCAAATTAATCTCTTTTTCTATTTCGTAATAACTATATACAATCTTGAATAAGTAAT